GACAAAAATATAAAAGTGATAAAAAAACACGAAAAAATTTAAATAAATTTCCGAGTGTAGGGAGGTTAGATGTATCTACAGTCCATTGTACATGCAAAATAGAGTATAAAGCAGACAAGTCGCCTGGCTGTCTATAATTTTCAAACAACAATAGCGGGCTTTACATATTTTACACAGACACTCTATCGCAATGGTGTGCGATTGGGCGCGCGTGTGAAGACTTTGGAAGGAAAAGGGAAGTTGCGCGTTACAAAGTTACCTTTTACATGGACGCTCTTCCGTTGTATTAAAAACGAACACGAACAATCACACGCGAAAAAACTTTAGCTTAAAAAACTTCAAGCAGGTAATCGCGCACGATTGCGCAAGCAGGCTTTCAAGCGCGCAAACCTATACGCTCCTGATCACGCACGATAGAGTGAGTGCGTAAATGGGGCTAATAAGTAATACATACCTACGTGTGGATATATGGGAATCGCTTGCCGCAATCTTCCTTTGATTTGTGCGCAAAAATCGACACTAACAAGTCGCGTGTCTTCCTGAGAATTCTCGCGCCCTTTCGGAAATTCTCGCAACTAACGCATCGTATCTAGTTTGTACGTTACACAACTGGCATAAAGTATTCATTTATTTAATTATGCTATGGTTACAAAAATCGGCGACAAACGTATATAAACATGCACAAGCCAATCCAAATACAACATCTACACGCTTGTGCGCCCTTCCCATTGTTTGGCGTGTGGAGCCGCCTTTAAATATATCACGTAAATATCACGGTGGATTACCGTCATTTGGAAAGAAAACAAACACAAATTTACGAGGTATTCTTGGTTATGTCTAGAAAATTCAAAGGGGTTTTTGCGCGCTCTCTCACAGGGATTTATAAGAAAATCATTTATAACTCTCAGCATAAATAACACTGTAATATAATAAAAGTGCTTTGGATACCTATACGTCACAAGGGTATAAGGGAAACGTTAGGTAAGTGCCTACTTTCAACCCCGTGATCCTGATATCGTTATAAATGTATTTCCGAGGTTATAAAGGACAGAATTGTGATAAATTTGAAATAACCGTTACTGTTGTTAACCTTTGTAATGTACTTGAAAGTATTTCAAAGCAAGTACCCCTGGGATTACATCCGTTTTCTCTGAAACTCATGGTTTAGGGACTTCTCCAATTTAGGAAATGTGAATTTGCGAATAATTTGTGTAGGTTTATGTACATTGTTTTGTATTAATAATTTGTTAGCTGGTGTTAGGGTGGTTGCTAGGGTGTGGCCGCAGTGGAGGTAAAACAAACACATGAAAGTATTTCATTAAAGATTTCTTAAGTAAATAATTTAAAGTAACGTCCGAAATAGGACTTTCATCTCGGGAGTCTCGGACTAGAAAATTTCGAGACATTTGAGATTTAAGTCACTTCATTGAACAGTATTAAAAAATCTAATAAACTAACAGTCATTAGTTATTTCTTGTTCTTGTTACATGAACATGGGAACACTATAGAGTGGAGATTAGTATAATCTGTGGAGATTGGAAATCGATAAGTGGTCTTCTCTATTCGAAACTATATCAAACGCCCTTTATTTCTCTTGTGCCCACTATAAAAACGAAAAGCTTATCATAAATTGTTTTGATGTAAAAATGTTGTACACAATGAAAGTGCGAACGGTTACTATGCTGATCTGCCACTATGCATGGCAGATCCCGGTCCCGGGTTTGATTCCCGGATCGGAAAAATATTTGTATGGCCTGCATTTATTTCTCTCGTGAGTTTACAGTGTTGCCCTTGTGCAAAATAGTACAAAATTTGATTAAAATATCATTTTTTGACTGTCTAAATGCCCGGTCCTGTGTCACCCGCATCCTGCCGCTGCCGGCCATCTTTCTCAGGTCGTTCGTCCATCTTGTCGCAGGGCGTCCTGCACTATGTTTATCTAAACGTGTCTGGTTGTCACTCTAGAACAAGTCTGCTCCATCAACCATCAACCGCAGACATATCCGGCCTATTGCCACAGAAGCTTATTGATTTTGCTAAATCTAAATGCTCAGCTTATAAATTTGAAAACCTACTTTTAGAATTGTCTCGAAACTCTCGTTTTTCTCGGGAATATTGAGATCGCACTTAATCTCGATTTTTTTCCGGGGCGCGGAAATGCAGCGGGGCTGAAAGCTTTAGTTCGAGGAGGATTTTATTATAATTCAATAGTAAAGTTTAAAAACGATTTCTAATAACAGACACATTCGTTTCACTAATAAATCAGACACTTTGAGTAATGATATTTCTTTGTTTCTTACTGAACGCTTACACGCCGAAACGGCTAAATCGAATTCGATGAAACCTTGAGAGCAGATAATTTGTAGTCTGGTTTGGTACATACAGTATTACCTACTTACATACTTACTTTTAGTAGCAGTAGAGCTCCTTGTGAAAGACTTCCTCCAGGAAAGTACTGCCACCTTATCTATTTCTGTCGCCAGAAATATCAGCATTACTGAGTTCCAGTTTTGAAGGGTAAGGGTGCTGGTGAAATTACAGGCATATGAGACTTGTCGACTTATGTCCCAGGGTGACGGACGAAGTGGCAGTGCCCCTCAGATCCTTGCAAATTAAAGCTCTGAGTAGTTGCAGAACTAATAAGACAGGCGTGTAGCTTATCATTAAGCGCAGGATTTGTTCGTCCCGTCACTTGATATTAGAAAATAATGATCAGTACAGAGTACTAAAAAAACCGACCTCAAAAGTACGTGGAATTACGTCTATTTGCTAAGTTTTATTGAAATCTCCCAGTATAGTTCGCCACTATACAGGACTTGACACTGGAGATAATGAAAATCGGTTCTCACTACTCAAAGTATATTGAGAGAAAAACGCCTTGAATTGGTGAAATAGCAAAATCAACCATTAAAGTAATTGCTCCTAAATTAAAGTTAGGCGCTATTTATTAAAATGAATCTTCATGCGTGAACAGCCACCCTTCAAGGTGGATGACTTTCTTCAAAATGAAATGGGACCACTACGGAAGTATCCTCTTTCCAACAAAAAAAGAATCATGAAAATTGGTTCACAAATACTGGAGTTATCGCGTAACATACATACAAAAAAAAACATACAGATGAATTGAGAACCTCCTCCTTTTTTGAAGCCGGGTAAAAATAAAATAATAATATTAATAATACCTTCTAACAAGAAATAACTCATCCGCATTAATTAGTCATTTATAACAGAAGCTAACGTGTAGTTGATGAGAGTTTTAATATTCTAGTGGTATATCGATTAATCTCAAATATTACAATAATCACCTTTGACTTACTATAAGCACCATCCTCGTAACTAAAATATTAATGGAACTATATTACACAAGTCGTTTAGTACAAATGGACATCACTACAAATTTCATGACAGTGGTTTTTAAAAAAACACTGTCATCAAATTTGTAGTGATGTCCAAACCACTGTCATCAAATTCCCAATTTCATACTCTGTAATAATGTTAATAATTATAATTTTAAGTTACACTATTAGTCCTGTATATTAAAACGTACTGTATTCACGTGAGAATACTGAGCTTATTTGATTGCAATCAAATTGTACAACTACAATGGGTTGTAATAACATTCATCAAAAAGTAAAGTACCAGTGCTAAGGCCATACTAAATGATGAGATTGGATCCACACGGTAGGGCGATTAAAATACTGGCAAGGCTTTTTTATAATTAGACTAATATGTTAGGCAAGATAATTAACTGTTAGAAGAACAGAATGGGCTGAAAAGACCGCATTGGCAGAATATATGATTCATTAACAATTCATCTATTTGACAGTGTTCTATAGTAGTAGAGGTCTCTATTATGACTCTGCCAATGCAGCCTTTTTAGCCCTGCTGATTGCTATTAGTTCGCCCACATTAGTTTGATGTTGTTTATGTAGTAATAATAAATTTAACTTAATTTAAATTGATATCGTTAAAACAAAACAATTTCTAAAACATAATGTAGCATAAATTGGAATGTTCTTTGTAAAATTAAAAATAAGATATTTAATTAATAACTTTAGTAAATAAAGTGTAAAAATAGGGTGATTTGCATTAATATTAGACATAACTGGTTGATAAGTCATCACCACCTCTTTTTTTTCTTTTCTTTTTTTGACGGGGGAAATGTTTATGAATACCCCTGAGCCCAGGGAGACTCAGGGGTTATGTGGGGACTCTCCCTCCAGACTGGAGGGCCTACCCCACCAAAAACCCCCGGGTTTCCCTCTCGCCGGTTGAGTCAGCGCCGTGGGATCAGTGAACATTCACCACGACGCCGCCCGGCCGCCCTAGCTTGCGCCAGGGCTCCCGCGCCATCGGAGGGGCGAGCCGGTTGTCCTCCGACCCGCCCCCCAGACGAGTGAGGCCGTGCAATGCAGGCTCCGGAGTCCCTGTCCAGAGCCCGCTGGTCTCACTAGTGGATCAGGCGAGCAGCGAACTGCCCTCGCCTTCTCCCCGTACGTCTGCGCCGAAGCGGGTGCGCGTCCGCCGCGTCCTCGCGCACCCGCTCCGCGGCCTCCTTTTGCGACATAACCTCTGCGCAAAAGGAGGCCACCGCCTCCCAGGACTCCTCGCTACCGAGCACGGCGGCAACCACGCTCGGCAGCGAGAGGTCCTGCCGTACAGTCCCCGTCAGAGTGCGGCGCTGCCCATCCCACCGGCTGCATACCTCTAGGGTGTGCTTCGCGGTGTCAAGTCATCACCACCTCAGTTAACTATGGCTATGTGACCTGTAAAGGGCTCGAAACGTCGGTTTGTTTGAAAAAAGAAATATTCGCGATTTAAATCCGGAAAAACAGATTCATTTCCTATGTGTCACAATCACGAAAATCTAAGAACTCGATATGTTTATGTACCGTTTTAATTCTTGTGTGTGACCAATAAAATGCATATCTATCTATATATCTATCATCATCACCATCATCATCATCTATATAATCAACATATTTTTTTTTGTATTTCAGTAAACTGCCGTCATGATGGGCGCATCGAACGGCGTCAAGGCGGCCCTCTGCATATCTCTTCTGCCTGATTTCCTCTTCCTTATAGGTACGTATGATCTTTATATTTTTAAACTTTAGGACCGTTTTAAGCATTCATTTTATTCTAAAAAGTCTTTGTTCTTTTTGCATTGTGCGCGATTAGGTATATTAGAAGCGGTGAGAGTTAAACGGCAACAATACAATACAAATACTCTTCTTTGTACACAAGAAAATACAACGACAAAGTACAATAGAAGCCTGTAAGAATTATTAATAGAGCTCAATATTGTTTTTCCACTTCCCCTAAAAAACGAAGGAAAAATTGATCAAAAATATTTGTATTGGTACGAAAAATTTTCTAAAAAACTTTTTATTAAAACCATTAGAAACGAAAAACTTTTTGTTCTTATTTAATCATTAAATGGGGAACGAAAAATTGTCAATTAAACATTTGTTTGATGTCGGTTAAGTATAATCAGCTGTAAACTTATTTTCGTTCAAACTATTTATCTAGCAGCACAGTAGTGTTGTAAATATTTAATTAATAATTTACTTTTTGTATATGAAAATAGCATCAAAATATAAAATAATTATCTGCTTCAATATCATTTAAAGTAATATTGTATAAAAAAAAATTATGTAGGTTACACCACTATTGCGCTGACGGCCTCGCTTTATTTATGTACTGGCTAAGGCCGGTTTTTTTAATAATATCAAGTAAAGAGACGAACAACTCATAACTTTAAATCGGAAAGATTTAAGTTGACAAGCCCCATGTGTCTGTAATTTCACCAACAGCCTTACTCTTCAAAACCGAAACGCAGTAATACTCATATTACTGCTTGGCGGCAAAAATAGCTAAGGGGGCAGTACTTCCTAGGACGAACTCTTTCACAAGAAGCTCTACTGCTACTAACCGGTTTAAGTTACAGTGCCAATAAACCAGCGTGGTAGACTATGACCTTAACGCCCTTCTTAATAGAGACCAGTACCCAGTTGTGAGATGTAATACTCCTAAAACTTAAGCGACAGTTGTGCCCACAACAACACAATTGGATGAATAGGTAATAATGGAATAGTGACGCAACATTCATACATTAGTGTTTATATACCGGATATCCCACAGCTATAGGATACGGAAGCAAAGCACTTTCAATTGCTGTAGATATTTTACTTCACGAAGGTACTATTTTCTTAATAAAAGTCAGTAATACTGCATTTAAAGGCAAAAAGTTGCTTGCCTCATCTGGGAATCGAACCGACCAAATGTAAAAAAAACAAGGACTCCTTTTAGATGACTTAATAGCTACTACGTAACAGAGATACATCACTCACGTATGAAATCGAAAATACCTGCGCTATAATAGCCTACTAAATCTGACTAATGACACCAGGCGCTCGTTACAAGAAAAAAGGAATCTAAGCACGCGCTCAGAGAGGTGAAAATAACGTTGTCCGCCGTGTGCTGTCATGCAGAGCCGAATGCTGGGGTTGTACAAGGATTGTAATGTAAATAATAGACTTGACTGAGCGGATGCACTGTCGTCGACAGGTAGGCATTTACAGGCATTTACATAGTGCGCCTGATGGTAAGCTATAACACTTGCAGTGCCACTCAGAGCTTTAAATCGCAAAGATCTGAGGGGCACTGCCACTGCGCCCGCCACTCTGAGACATATGTTGACAAGTCTCATGTGCCTGTAATTTTGCCAGCACCCTTACCCTTGAAAACCGGAACACAGTAATGGTGACATCACTGTTTGGCGGCAGAAACATGTAAGGTGGCAGTACTTCCCTGGACGAAGTATTTCACAAGGAGTTCTGAGTGCATGAGGCCCGGCGCCCATTGGCGGAACACTACAGTTATAGCAAGCTTCGGGAATCCTTCGGCATCCCTACATGCAAGTAGCATCCGTGGGCATGCCGAAGCATATCGTCGCGACATCGTACCCACGCTTAGCTTCTATTCAGTGCCTCTACCACGAGATGACAGGGACACTTATCGCTAGCGATTACGTAAAATGTTTCTATACTGTATAACTTGTCATACAAAACTGTGAAGTAATTTACGCTTGCGACAACTGTCACAGTAAACTGTGGGGGCACAGATCAGACGTAATGTTGAACGTAAAAGCCTGCCGCAGCATTCCGAAGCAGCTGCCGCCCTGGCTCGGTATCCCTAAGCTTACCGCAGCTTTGTTTCGTAGCTAAGACCATTATGATTGAAATTTCAACGATAATGTTTTAACATTAAGATATATTTACTTTTCGTCACCTAGAAATCCCCTGCAGTACTCTTGAGTAGGCGCTGGGGCTTCGAAGAGAAAAAGCACAGAGCATCTATTGTGATTTTTACAAAAAACGGAGCGAAGTAGATTGAGAATTCGAAACTTGAACGGTATCGAGATGTTATTTGATAATGGATCTGATACTAATAGATCTAAAGATTTATTTAAATTGCTGTTAGCTAATACAGAACTATACGGCTTAAATTCCAAAAAATATCGTCACTTATGCGTACGAATATCTTACGTTACAACATTGAACAAGAATTTATTGAATGTAAATAACTTTTTTGCGTCTAAGTTGTGAGTTACGTCCGTTCGCGATAAAGGGGACAATATATGGGACTTCACAGTTTGATTCTATTCTTGATTCTAGTATATTATAGATCACTCTTCGGAAGAAGGATATAGAGTCGTATTTGCTGAGGCTTGAGAAACCGATTGCACGATAAAGGAATCATATGATGAATTGAACATATAATATATCCAAATTATAATGTTATTTTTACTTTTATACCTTAAAAACACTGAAAATGAAACAATTTTCTTCGAATCTTAATCGCATATATTTGTTGTTTAAAATGAACCAATATTTCAGACCCTTTACAGGAAATAATACTGCTTAGTATCAGATATAGTAAGGTGGCAGTACTTTCCGTGACAAACTCTATCACAAGTGGCCTACTGCTACTAAATCTGCATATTTTACATCAACAAAAAGTAAAGGTTTCCTATTAAAGCATTCATTCATTCGTTTGCTTTACTCTAAATATCTCAAACAAACACACTAACAAAATGTCTTGAAAGAAAATCTTACGAGACGGCTAACATTACACAACGACACTTGGCATCAGTCGAGCAAAACGAAAGGACATAAAACGAACAACGTTCACCGACAAGCAATGATGTTATTTCGTTTACAGATACTTCCATAACAATACAATTAAAACAATTAAAATATAAAGAATTAAAGAAAACACGCAACGGACGAATGAAAGTACAAACGAAAATTAAAACTTAATACATATATATATAATGTGGCAGGCAACACTGGAAGTGCACGATGACGAAGAATAAATCCAAAATGCTCCTAAAAATACTTGGAGTGCGTAGTTAGAAGAACAAGAAGTCTTGTTTGAAAAGATTGATAAACGTAAGTGACGCTTGTTTAGATCGTCGAGAATTATCGATCGATAATGTTCTTTCTCAAAAGGAATCAAAGGTGTGGGAATACGAACAGAACAACAAATACATTAGAAGTGGTAAGTTAGCGTAGTTAATGCGCGTGCCAACTCAACTCATCCGAAGAACAGAGTTCGATGTGATTATTTAGCGAAAAGCGAATAATTGCGAGAATAATTTCCTTGTTGAAACTAAGGCCTAGTGAAGTAAAGGTTTGAGAATTTATGTATCTTATTTCGGTTCGGAAATATAAAATCGAACAACGGTCGATCTGACATCCACAGCGAAGAAGAACTACCGAAATGAATGTCCTGAGAACAAGTAGTCTTGCACATAGGTCTTTGTTCTACGGATGAGTCGAACTGCAGGCGCAGTTCCGCCTACGTGAGCTTAGTCGGCCATTTTTTCTTTTATAATGGTCGTGTCAATTTTTTCGCGCAAATTTTCTAAAATTGTAGAAAGATTACTTATTGTGTTGTTGTAGCGTACAAAAATGATTGCCGCATCAAAAATATTACTATATTTAAATTAGTATTTCACACCACGCGTAAGTGTTATTCAATTTTCTGTTTCCCGAATTGTTTTTTTTTACTGTAAGAAATGAAAGAAATGAAAATAAATATTATCCCAGTGCAATGTGGTCGAGCGCAAAAAAGCTTAGCGAAAATAATACTTCGTGAGTGTCTTGTTAATTTTAAACTTAATTGTTCGAAATAAAGTTCATAAATTGTCAAGAAGATACTACTTTCCATTCGTTCAGATTCCAGATTTTAGTCGTTCGTCGTAATCCAGCTACTGGCCGCAAGATGGCAGCAAGTTGAATAAAATTTCAATATAAAATCGAAACGTCATAACTTGCAATAAAGGTATCGAACATCGATGTAGCGACTTGGTAAAGTTTAAATTATAATAGGGGTTAAAGTATGAAATTGCCGATTTGTACTGAAAATCTAAATTGTTTATTTTTTAAATTTTTAACAAATTTATTTAATCAAAATAGTTGCCATTATTATCTATACATTGCTGCCATCTAATGGGAAGGTTATTAATGCCTTTGCGATAGAACTCCGACGATCTAGACTGCACAAACTGTGTGAAAGCATTTTGTACTGCCTCCTGGGAAGAAAACTTCTTGTCACGTAGATAATTGTCCAAATCACGAAAAAAATGGTAGTCCGTTGGAGCAAGGTCTGGTGAATACGGAGGATGACGAATGGTTTCTAACTGCAGTTCCTGAAGGGTCAAAATGGTTTCTCGTGCTGTGTGAGGTCTCGCGTTGTCGTGGAGCAATAATAGTGAAGATCGATTCATGAGTCGGGGCTGTTTTACTGCTAGTTTTGTCAACATGGTTCGGAGTTCGGCACAATAGACATCTGCCGTTATTGCTTGACCAGATCGGAGAAAACTATAGTGAATAACACCATGCTGAGACCACCAAACAGTTACCATTACCTTTTTATTGGTAAGTTTTGCTTTAGGACACTGTTGTGGCATTTGACCTGGGGTCAGCCATTGCATTTTTCTTTTCCGGTTATCATAAAGAATCCACTTTTCATCACATGTTACAATTCGATCCAATATTCCTTCATTTCTGTACCGG